CATCCAGCTGTGTCACTGGTTTAGTTTAGGCACATTACTCGAGGAAAAAATGTGTGAGAGTTTAGTCTGGCCGTTACTTTTACTGCTTTTTATTACAGTTGTGTCATCCAGTTCTCTGTCATCCTAGGTGTTTCACCCATCTGCAGTAACACTGCAGGAAGGCAGAATGCTGCCAGGGGGTGACCTCGCAGGGGGAGAGGGAAGGAAAAACAGAGGAGCTGGGAATGGACGCTCAATCCTTTTATCCATGAGCACACCTGGATCTATTTGAACCAGCCAATACCTTCCTTCTCCTTCTTGCAGCAACGCTCGGGTTGTGGGGTGGTTCATTTGCAGCAAACCCAAGTCAGCCCCAAGCACAGTGTGGCCACCTCTAGAGGGCGGTGACTGACTGATGAACGCTAGAGCTGATGATTCCTGGTTTATCATCCTACCGGGATGATTCCTGGTTTATCCCGGGCTAATCCAGCTGGTATATGCAGCAGTTCAGCGAATTGCAGCCTCCCTGCAGAAAGGTGCAGAGCTGGCAGAGACAGATCTTTGTCCAGATGAAGCGATAGAGGAGTTGAAGCAGACAAGTAATGTACCAGACTTTGGCTCAAGCGTTAGAATGAATTTACAAACTGTTGTGAAAATCATTATTTCTTAGATTATTAGTAACTCTTACAAATACCAGAAACCTTGATTTCTGCAACCACATTGGTTTGTGCTGTGCCTTGAAGGAACCAATCCATAAATACATTTAAATCAGAGCAAAGAAGGGAAGAAATCAAATCAGCCAGCAGGAATTGCTCTGAACTCCTGGGTTTACACTAACAACGTGCTCTGTTTGGCTTCCAGCACAGCCCAGCCCTGCTGTACCAGCCCCCATCCCAAGCATGGCCTTGCCAGGAGTGAGGGGACAGAACCTTCCTTGTTAACATAATTCAGCGCAGGAATTGTTCCCATGGAGAAACAGCTTCCCAGCCACACCTTTCACATGACTTTATCTTCCTTTACCTGCATGTCAGGTAGGAAGCTGGTGGTGAGATTTCCTGCAGCATCTTGTGATGTTGTGAGTGGTCCACATGTGGTCCTGCCCAGCTTCCACACCTCTGGATCTGACTGAGAAATATCACTACCTTCCTCATTTTCCCCTGTCCCTTGTCATAATTTTGCTGGTTAGCTGCTTTCTCTACTTTTCCTGTATCTCTTCTCCTGATGCCCATAAACAAAACTCCACCAGAACTTCTTAGTTCTGCAAGAAAATGAGGAGAAGTTGTTTGAAATAAAGTGTGAGGTGTGGACAGAGTTCCAGGGCAGACATCTTTTTTTTTTTTTTTTTTT